TTTAAAATGTTGATATCAACAGATGACACTTTACATGCTGATTTGTTACAGATGGCATCCAAACTGCAGCCTTCTCCATTTCATCCACAGCACTGGTTGCATTGTTGCACTGGTATTTAGGCACCAAGGGCTGTGGAAAAGAGCAGAAGGCTGTTTACTGGCATTCTTTTTGCTTTTTCTTACTTTCTTCTCATGCAAATGCATTAGCTTTATCTCCTTTTTTTATTTGCCCTTGCTTGGCTTGTTTTTTGCCTTTGAGCCATGCCTAGTAGGAAGTCAATGAGCCAAGGTTGGCCATGTAGCTGGAGGGAATGGTGAGGACCAGACAGCTTGTGATCTCAGTCCTACCAGGCTCTGTGGAAAATCATGGCCAAGCCAGATGGACAGGAGGGTCTTGGTGCTTGGAAGTGTGTGGGCATGGATGTGTTGGTGTGCATGAATGAAATCAGGTTTTGGTTCACAGTAAAATCCCTTCCTGCCCAGTGTCAGCCACAGATTCTTCTCCCCTCTGCAGCTGAAGGGCTCTCCAGCCTTTGGAGAGGGAGTGTGGTATCAGTCTTTTCATTATCCTTCCTCTCTCATCACCTTCAGATCCAATCCACACCATGCAGCCTCCAGCCCCACCATGGGTGGGTTTGGGGTGTCCTGCTCCTGTGAACCACAGGGTTATCCAGCCCACCCTGTCACCAACCACGTGCCAGGGATAGGGGTGAAACCCTGCTGCCACGAGGCTCAGCTGCTTCCTGGGCCCGTGAGCCTGCTTATCATGGCTAACTTATTTAGTCATGGGCATCTGACACCTCTGCCAGCCTCTGTTGATTTGAAATCTGCAAGCACCTCGGTTTTGCCTGGGTTTTGGCTGGGGCAGCAGCCCCATTGTAAGCGCAGGCGAGCACTCCTGCAAGGCAGAGCCTGGGATGCACAGCCTGGATCTGTCACATTGCTAAATCTGGCCCACTGTCATCACCCTGCTTGAACGAAAGTCACCCTGACTTTGCTGTTTCTCACTTCTCTGTCCTGCTATGCAAACTAAAAGCAGCTGCATGACTTTGCCTCCCTGGATTCTCCCCGGTGTCTAGAAGGTAAAATTCTAGAACAACCAGCTAGGACAAGAAGTGAATTAGAAAGAGCTTGGCCACTGAGACAAACACTAGGAGCATCAAAAACACAAAGATGTGAAGAAATTGACTGTGCAGGGAAGTCAGGGAAGCTGAGCAGGGCTCTTTGGATTTGATAGCAGAACTGAGGGCAAAAGAAAAAATGTAGATTTTAAAAATGGGTGCCTGCTCAAGTGAAGTCCTCATCAGTCCCCTGCACTTGGGGATCCCCACCCTGGCACAGCCCTTTCTGGAGTGAGCAAACCCTGGAGCTCCCACTGACCCCCTTTCTGGGGGCTGCACTGACCCTGTGGCCATGCCCAGTGATGGGGACCATGGCCATGGCTGCTGCTGACTGTCCTCGGAGTGGGCAGACAGAGGAAGGTGACACAGAAATGGCACACAGGAGTCTGTCTTGCTCTACTCAGCCCTTTCTCCCTCCATCCCACTGGCTCTGGCTCTTGCTCCTTCTCTGCTGCAGTTCCACTGCAAGGAATGGGCACCTTCCCTTGGGGAGCAGGGACAAGAGGAAGGAAAACAGCTGCATGTGATGAGGGGAGCAGTGGCCACACCACTTGTTGAGCATTTCACTCCACAGCTCAAAAATTGCCAAGAATACAATTTTGCAGTACATAACTGCCAGTTTTGATGAGGCTGTGAGAAGGTTTATGTTTTCCTGTGGAAATCAAAAGCTGAAATGTTGTGCAGCGCTGAAAAAAATATATCTCTTAATTTGTGGTTTGCATAATAATATAGCACAGGTTTATGGTGCAATTTTGCTGGCTTCCTGAGAGATTGGGTAAACCAGGATAAAAAAATTTGGTCCTTTGGGGTCCTGCTTTGCTCAGCCGAAACCTCTTTTCTCAGAAAACCTCAAGAGTATTTCATGAGCATTTTTGAGACTGGAGAGGTGAAAACAAGCTCGCAACACAGTGACCTCCAGAATTTGTAAAGAAATAAGGATCTTCTCGAGACATACTCAGGATGCCTGTGCGGGGTTTGAAGCTGGTGTGAGCCAGGCTGGCAGGTTGGTGCATCAGGACTTCGGGCAGACCTAGGAGGAAAGGGAAAAGAGGCCAAGGTGGCTGAAGGTGTACACTCTGTGTGAGGCACTGGTGGGTGATGGACTGCTTCTCTGTGGCTGCTGCCAGGTTTGAGCAGGGGAGTGACTGTGGCAGCTGTGGGGTGAGCTTTGGTTGGCACCACATCCTCTATCCTACCAGCACCAGCTACTGCCCAACTCTGCACCACATCTCCTAAGGACATTAGGGAGTTGTTAGACCTTCTCACTCCATATCCTGATCTGAAGGGTGGGGGAAACTTGTTGATGCCATGAAGGCATCAGCAATTTGTTCCCCTGGCTGCAAAGTCCCAGCCAGTATGTGGATTCCTCTCCTTTCCCAGCATGAAGGTCTCCCCGCTGGTGGGGACAGAGTGGGCTGAGACCTGTAAACTCTGGGGCTTCCTTGTCCCCACATCAGCTGCAAAAGCAGCAGGATGGGGTCCCTGTGAAACAGCCTGTGGCACCATCTAGTGTCCATGCCAGCTCTGCACCCATTGCTGGGCAGATGGGCCAAATCAGAGCCCCGGTAGCCGGTGAGGACACTCTGGTCAGAGGCAACTTGCCAGGGAACCCACTTCCTGCTCCTGGGCAGGCAGGTACAGGGGGACAGTGCTGCAGTGGCATCCAGGAAAAAAAATCCCCAATGGAAGGGAATACTCCAAGCCATTGCTCAAGGAAATTATCAAGTGCTGTCTGATGGCAGGAGACAGATCTCCCATCCCTTGGTGAGGGCAATGCCCTTGGCACAGGAGATGATGCCCTTGGCATTTCACACACCCTAGTGCTCACCCAGGCCCACAGGTTATGGCTGGGAAAGGCTCTTCTCAGGGATGACTGTCTTGAAACTGGTCTCTGAGGAGCATTGGGAATGTCCTGTCTCAACATCCAGGCCTTTCCATCCAGCCAGGCTTCCCAGCTAGGGATTTATGGGAGGTGAGGAAGATATCCTAGCTGTGGTGCTGGAGTGGCAGAGGGTCCAAGAGGCCTTCCTGCAGAGAGATCAAGCTCCCTCCTTCTCCCATCCAGACAGCAAGAGGGAATCATGGATCTCCGTGGCCAGGACACATTCACGGGTGCAGGTGAGTGTCCCTAGGTGAGACCACCCAGGATGCTGAGGACGGGTGAGTACAGCCCCTCTGCAGCAGCTGCCTGGGCAGGGGCCATGCAGGGGAAGTCCACAACGAGCTTCCCAGTGCAGGTCTCCGTTTCTCTGGATGCCTGGGTACCCTGGTGCTCGGGGTGGCCTGCCGATTCCGGCTGCCGGTGCCACAGTGGTGCCAGGCGGCTCAGGCTCCAGGCCGGGACCTGTGCCCGCCGGTCTGGCAGGGCTGCGCCCCGTCACGTCCCCCGCCCCGACAAAGCGCTGAGTCACCCCAGCTGTCCCCCCAGCCGGCTCCTCCTTCC